ATTACAATGTTAGCATACACACTGTAGGAATTTGCGAATATTTGGGGTTATATTTATATGAGGGCTATGGCTAATTAATGACCGACATATCTCAATTTCGAACAAAATATTTTTATTTTGTGTCTCAATTCTTTCCTTTAGGAGGTATAATTCTATGGGGGAGATGCCGAAATGCTGGCCAATATATTTCATTATCGTCAGGTTCGAGTTTTTTTTATCACGATTTCCTTAAAAAGCGGTAAGCATTCCGCTGGCTAAATCGTCTCAGAATTCCATAATTTGTAGGGTAAAACTGACTATTTCGAGTAACGACTATCCCCTATACTATGGGACAACCCCTACACACGGAACTAATCAGCTAACTATTTTAATATAAGAAGGGGGTTATATGGGAACTACTCTTAAAAGGGCTCGAATATTTATAATTTTTTGTATTAAATAGCATATGCGACTACAAAGTACCAAATTACAGCGAATTCGGTTCAAAACGCGCTCAAGAACCCCAAAATAAAGGAACTTAAAGGTGTCTTATATGGGGGCTACCCGAAAAGATGGGCCTGTATTTAAAGTTTTTAGTGAATACATTTGGTTCCCAATAAGAACCCATTGTACCAAATTTCAGAGAATTCCTTTTCAAACCGCGCTTAAAATTAACAATTTGTAATGGAGACTTTTGGTACCCAAAAATAACCCAATGTACCAAACATCAGCGAATTCGGTTGAAAAGCTTCTTGAGCGCGCTTTTCACTGAAAATGATTCCATCAAGACCCTTCATTCACACTGCCTTCAATTGAAAGCAGAACCAATTATGCGGGCTATATATAATGAACTATATATCACTAGCAAAGTGCCCTCTACTTCGTATGCGGAAAGGGAATACAAAAAATATTTGATATGGAAATCGTGAATATTGTATAATATGTTGTACTATAGTTCTGAATTCCACCTCTATTTCTACATCTAATATCATGTTTATTACAATTTAGTACTCTTTACACACATAAACAATATTATTACACAGATTAAAAATAGATGAGATTTTAGCAAATTCGTACAGGTTCCACATTTAGTTTCATTTAGCACTTTTCGAACACATAAGTAAACATTTTTAAGACTACCTCCATACCATCACCACCACTAAATTTAGTACCAATTACTTCCGTCAGTGACCGACATTCTAAATTTTAGCTTTCCAGCTCTCTCCGTTACCCAAATCCAAATTTAGAGCATTTTCTATTCTATTCACTATTCGTACACATAAACTTGATTTTCCAAAGTTGTCGCCATAACTCAATACTACACTTTAACAATAATCTAAATTCCAAAACTTTGGGTTCAACCAAATCCAAATTTAGTACCATTTAGTACTTTTCATACTCTTAAGTAAGAATTTCTAAAACTACATCAATCCTACACTCTAACAGTATCTTAATTCGACCAATTCGACCAATTGAATCCGAAGGATTCAACTCAAAAAATTCCGGAAAACAGAACATAAAATATTTTTATAAATATTCATACAATTTTTTGGGACGTGTGAACACCCCTAAGGAAACTGATCATATGTTTTCAGATAATGTGTCACATGTGATATTGACGGGTGGCAACATTTAACAGAGATGACAGTCAGTCTCTCATTTTTTGTTTGTTTGATTATTACACTTAGATTACACTGAATGTTGTTGCTATTTTTTCATGTAGTATGCCGAAGGCAACGGACGGACATGCGCTTAAGAAACGACCGACGGCTTTTCTTTTTTATTTAATTAATTATCACAACACTTTTTTCGCGGTATGTCACTTTATTTGAAAAATAAATTATGATGTGTACATACCTGTGTTGTTGTTAAATTAATATTTTAAAATAAAATATTAAAAAGGGAGACGGGTTAGTTCTCGTGAAAAACAATCCGGCTCGATTGGGCCAATGTTTGCGTTGATGCAAAATATGAAAATAGAAATAAAAACACAATTCTTTAGAATTTTTGACCAAACGTAGATTTGGTTGTTTTATTGAATGGTTCGTGAAATTATTAATATTACCTTTTTACAGTAGTGTAGGGCTGTATGCCTTTTGGTCGTGAACCAAAGAACGAGTGTAACGTAAAAGCTATTCGTTATATTTTGCTACTACCTTTTGTCAAGATATAACGATTAGGCATAATTTACTTTAATTCAAAAGGAATTAGTTCAAAATAGTCATCTACATTATAGTTATATGCATAATAATGTAGCACCCAGTAAAGCCCTTGTAAGATATTTAAATGCTCTGTCACAATCTTCTGTCCACACAAATTTTAAATTTTTCTTGGTTAATTTTGAAAGAGGTCTTGGATAATCAGAAATTTGTTTTATGAACCTACGATAGAAGTTACAAAAATCTAAGTACTTCTTAGCAATATCTCTCTTTTTATCTGTGCATTTATGACCATCATATGTTACTTTTCGCATAAATGATGTAGTATAAGATTTTTCCACGACATAATCTAAAAATTTCAGATAAATCTGAACAGGAAAAGGTGAAAGATATATGAAAGATGACAATTACATGGATCACTTAATGAATGAGGATGGTGATAAGCTATTCTAAAGTCGAGGGAATACGCAGCTGATAATATACTGGCGACATAGCGAAGGACAATCTTTATGGACATTATATTTAGACGACCCATGGATTGATTGTTAGAAATATGTTGTATGAAATTATGGAATTTAAAACTAACGAAATGTATGTTAATAAAAAATAGTCATGTTTCTTTGTGATCATATTAAATATTGTTGCCATTCTCTGTTCCAATGATTCTATGTATATGAACATTGTTGTGTGGAGTATGATACAACAGTAACGAGGATAAAAAATTAAAGGATGGTATCCGCCACATTATTATCAACGATGAAGATGATATGCACGATGGTAGCAAAGGTGAAAGATATATGAAAGATGACAATTACACGGACCACTTAATGAATGAGGATGGTGATAAGCTATTCTAAAGTCGAGGGAATACGCAGCTGATAATATACTGGCGACATAGCGAAGGACAATCTTTATGGACATTATATTTAGACGACCCATGGTTTGATTGTTAGTAATATGCTGTATGAAATATTGGAATTTAAAACTAACAAAATGTATGTTAATAAAAAATAGTCATGCTTATTTGCGATCATATTAAATATTGTTGCCATTCTCTGTTCCAATGATTCTATGTAAATGAAAATTGTTGGGTTGTGGGCAGGGTAATTAAATACAACAAATCTATCAAAATTTTTATGTTGAGTTAGCAGACTCAAATGTTTTCCTATTACACGCAGTATTCTCTAATATATTCCTTATCAGAAGGATTTTAATGTAAACCTTAAAGGTTTTAAAATGGGCTGAGGCTTGAAGAAATCATTCAGTCTCCAAACTTTGTAAATAGTAAAATGGAGTCGTCATTAAACAAAGAACATAGTAAGCCAGAAAACCGAACAACCGACAACACATTTTCTAGAAATAATACATCGTCCTGAATTATTAGAGATATTGAAAACCATATTAAAGAAAATATTGTTCACGTTCGTGGAACGGCTATGTTTGGAACACCCTGTGTTTTTAATGTCAAACCATCACAACTCTGGTCGATCTGGTGACAATGTTGGGCAGCTTGGGACTTTTTTGTTGGATGCTCAAATGGCGTACTAGTTGGAATTTATACTAGCGAATAATAGTTTTTTAATTATAAAATTTTGCCACTCGTTGTTGTATAGTTGAACAGAAAGAACGTCTGTAAATAAATTTTGTTATTTTTATTGAAAAGTCGGTCGTTTTCGAAATTATTATTAAAAAATATAAATACATTTTAGGAAAGTGTTTTTTTCCAACTTCCCGAAAATAAAAATAAAAGTGTTTTTATTTATTTGAAAGTTTGTGCCTGATTGCCGTCGTTGTTCCCGCTGTGCTCCACCGGTGATTATTTTTTGATTGTTGTTGGGATTTTGCCCAAAAAGTTTTGAAACAAAACATCGTCCTTCGAGCCGGATACGGAGTACGAGGAAATTTTTCGATTCATATTGTTGAATTTTGGGCGAAAATCAGGTAAATAATATTTTTCTGGGATAATATAATTAATTTTTGATAAAAAATAATCATAATTGCAAATTTGCAACATTTTTCAAAAATTATTATTTATCCCATTTTATGTGTAGAAAGTGTTGATCTGGCAACGCCGTCACAGCTGATCGTCGCTTTGACAGATAACACTAACAACAAACAGTAGATTACTCGTTGATCTTCTTCTTGTTTGTTAGTTTTTTTTGGTTTTTCTTTTTTTCGTTTTGCCTTTTATTTACAAAATTTTATTTGTTTTATTTATTGTAAATAAATAAAAATTCTATAATTTTACAAAAAAAGAAAAAAAAATAGAATAAAAGAAATAAATATTTCAGTGAAAGTGGTCCAAAGTGTTTTTTGAAAAATTAATTGAAAATTAAATACTATTTTTGGCAAATTGGCAAAAAGGACGGACGGACATCCGTAAATATTTTTTTGTAATAATTTTATTTATTAAAAGTGAAATTTATCATTACTAGATGATAAATTGTTTATTTTTAAAATAATCAAATTGGTTTTGCTGTTTCCCATTGGTATTTGGTGCGTATTTTGCATTTTTTGATTATTTTCATATTTTCTTTCATTGTTGCTGTCCATTGTTTACATTATTGACAGCTGTAATATACGTGAAGAGGAGACTTGTAATAACAAGGTGACTCGTCCTTCTTTCATTGACTTATCGTATAGCCAAAGGGAGACTTGTAATAACAAGGTGACTCGTCCTTCTTTTATAAAGTTGAAATTGAATTTTGGGTTCTTAGCCAATTTATAACATATAGTGAATAATTTTCACGTACAAAATCTGACATTTGTCATATATTGGGTAAAATCCAGTATTTTTACCAATTTGAAGCCCACTTTTTTGTGATATTTTGGTTGAAATTGTAAGATTTATTGAAATAAAAGATGGCAGATTCCAAGTTTTTGCTCAAATTTAAGGCTCTTGCGACACTGTTATTGGATTTTGAAAATGAATATAATGCCATAACACCAGGTGAACTTACTATGTTCACTATGGAGCCTCGAAAAGTTGAACTTAACCGACTTTGGTCTAGGATAAATGAATCCTATGAGAATGTTTGTGTTGAGTGTAGTGCATCTAAAGAAAGGGAAGAGGCATCACAACTTTATAGACAGTGTAAGGAAGCATATATGAGTTGTGCAGCGCAAATGGGCGAATTATCTCAGTCCTTTGTAGAACAGTCCGCTATGTCGTCTACAATGGCTAGCCCTAATCATATACCAAGGGCAGAAAGATTGGAATTTTCTTTTGCTGACCACCGTCTGCGTTTGCCTCCGTGCACCACAGAAATATTTCACGGCGATTATTTGTCATGGCCGTCATTTAGAGACATGTTTAAGCCAGTTTATATTGATTGTAGATCAATCACCCCAGTAGAAAAGTTGTTTTATTTGCGTCAAAGCACACAAGGGGAAGCTTTAGAAATTGTTAAAAAATCTCCTTTAACAAATGATGGTTTTGAAAATGCCTGGACAAATCTGAAAGATCGTTATGAAAATAAACGGATCTTGGTAAATAATCAGTTGAAAATACTTTTCAGTCTAGAATCAATGAAAAATGAATCTGCTGGAGAAATAAAACGACTTCAAAGGGATATTAATAATTGTATAACGGCTTTGAAGTTACACCAGGTGAATATAGAAAGTTGGGATCCAATATTTGTGTTTTTATGCTCCACTAAATTACCAACTAACACCTTATCGCTTTGGGAGCAAACGGTTAGTAATAAAACCGAGATAAGCAAATGGTGTGATCTTGATAGTTTCCTTACGGCCAGATTTCAGTCACTGGAGACTGTATATGATTTAAAGCATACTGAAGATGCTAAACCTAGTGGAAACAAAAATCCCCACGACGATTCTCGATCAAGCAGAAAATTTAAATCTTACCAGGTGAACGTAAATCAAAAATCTTGTTTTGTATGTTCGCAAGATCATTGGTTGAAATCTTGTCCACAGTTTTTAAAGATGAGTCAAGAACAAAGGTTTATTGTTATAAAGCGAAACAATCTCTGCCTAAACTGTTTCAGTAATAACCATAAACTTAGTCAGTGTACCAAAAAAAATAGTTGCTCAAAATGTCGTTTAAAGCACCATACCCTTTTGCATAGAGAGTCTAAACCATCAGAGTCTATTGCTATTGCGAATTCTGATGCCCAGCCTAGCACTAGCAGACAAATTGCTTCGAGCTCTTCTAGTAGTGGACCGACAGTGCAGAATTGCTTTGCAGCTTCTCGAAGACAGGTTCTCCTGGGAACGGCCATTGTTCAAATTGAGGTAAATGGAATCATATTTTCGGCTAGAGCTTTAATTGATTCGGGTTCTCAGGCCACATTTATTTCAGAGAAATTGCAACGACAGCTCAATCTTCCAATTAAAAAGGTCAATGTGAGAATTTCAGGTCTAAATGATGCATTAGCGGGATCGGCTGAAAAACAATGTACATTTGTTTTGAGATCGCCTCACAATAGCTTTGAGATGCAAGTTTCTAGTTTGGTTTTACCAAAATTGACGGGAAAACTTCCTACGTACACTTTAGATATTCCTGACACGTATTCTATAGGAATTGTGCCCTTAGCCGACCCAAAATTTGCTAAAAGTGATCAGGTCGATCTTTTGATAGGAGGTGATATTTATCCTCAAATTTTACTGAATGGTGTGCAACGAAATGTTTTAGGTTCTCTTGTGGCACAAGAAACTATTTTTGGTTGGGTTTTAACAGGCCCAATTTGGAATGCAAACCCGGGGACTTTTACGACTTGTGTCTCTTTTTGTACGGCTGTAGAGGTGGATAAGATTTTAGAAAAATTTTGGAAATTAGAAGAGCCGCCTAAAATCTCAGAATACAGCGCTGAAGATGAATATTGTGAAGAGGTTTATAAGAAAACTACTAAGAGATTATCGGATGGAAGATACGTGGTTTCTTTGCCTTTCAAGCCTCAATTTGCTGATGGAAACAGTTTGGGGGTTTCAAGAACAAGAGCTTGTCGACAATTTTTGAGAAATGAGATGTCATTGTCCAAAAAACCGGAATTCAAGTCCATATATGATAATGTTTTGGAGGAATATGTGACACTCGGTCATATGATGGAGGTTACCCATAGTCTAGAAGATGTGTTCTCCTTTTATATGCCGCATCATGCGGTAATAAAACCCGAAAGTTCTTCCACGAAGGTTAGGGTAGTTTTTAACGCTTCCAGCAAATCGAGTACGGGCTTGAGTTTGAATGACGTTCTCTATCCTGGTCCCATTTTACAGAATGACTTGATGTTATTGATAATTCGCTGGCGATTTTATCGTTTTGTATTTAATGGTGATATAGAAAAAATGTATCGTCAAATTTGGTTGCATAAAGAACATACCAAGTTCCAGAGAATAGTTTTTCGAAAAGACCCCTTTGGTGTTAACTGCGCACCATTTTTGGCTATTAGAACTTTGCTTCAATTAGCCACTGATGTTGAAAAGGATTTGCCTTTAGCGGCTAAAATTTTAGGCCGTATGATGTACGTGGATGATGCTCTCGCTGGGGCTCATGAATTATCATTAGCAATTCAAGCTAGGGATCAATTGATTCGCGCTCTGTCTTCTGCGGGATTTTCTATGAGGAAATGGACATCAAATGAAGAGAAAATTTTGGAAGGACTGCCGCTTGACCATCTTCTCTCGGAAAATTTTTTGGAGATTGAGGACGAGAGCAATGCGAAGACATTAGGTATTAGATGGAATGCCAAGGGCGATTGTTTTTATTTTGCGGTGAACCCGATTGAAATTAAATCAAATTTTACCAAAAGAGAGGTTTTGTCCATTATTGCAAGTTTGTTCGACCCGGCAGGTTGGCTAGGCCCGGTTATAGTTGTTGCCAAAATGTTAATTGGATGGGATG